AAGGAGAGATGGAACTTGAAACAAAATGGAAAGATAAAGAAAAAAGAAAGAAAAACTTGGCACATTCTATGCAGCCAAGCATCAGTTGATTTGTATCTACCCCTCTTTCCTTCTTCTTTTTTTTTAANAATTTTTGAGGATGGCAATACATACTCCTGGGAGAGGAAAGAAGTACTTTTATTTAAGGAGAGATGGAACTTGAAACAAAATGGAAAGATAAAGAAAAAAGAAAGAAAAACTTGGCACATTCTATGCAGCCAAGCATCAGTTGATTTGTATCTACCCCTCTTTCCTTCTTCTTTTTTTTTCAATTTTTATTTCCCTCTTTCTTAAGTTACCCTAACTCAAAACAGAATTTTTTTCAAAGTCTGAAACGGGAAATCTGTCAGAACTGAATCATGGATAACATACACCAAGTGATTATTGCTATAGTTACCCAGTCCTGAACTCTTTATTTCTTACTGCCCTTCTCTAGAGTTGCCAGAATTCCACTATATATTCCTTTATGCTTATTCTAGCAAAGCTGAAAACTAGGATCTGAGAAGAAAAAAGAAGAAACTCTCCCTCCACAATCCACCGCTGTGCCTCGTCTGTGTGTGTCCACCTAGTTTTTTTGTTTTTTGTTTTTCTCCAAAGAAACAAGTGCTGTGCTATGCATAGTCGCTCAGTCATGTCCAACTCTTTGCGACCCCGTGGGCTGCAGCCCACCAGGCTCCTCTGTCCATGGGCTTCTCCACGAATACTGAGTGGGTCGCCATGCCCTCCTCCAGGAGATCTTCCCAACCTAGGGATCAAACCCAGGTCCCCCACATTGCAGTTGGATTCTTTACCATCTGAGCCACAAGGAAGCCCAAAGAATCAGGCTTTAAAAATATAAAACACAAATTTAGAAGACATTGTTTTCTGAGATCCTCATTTTTCATTAAATTTTTCACTAAGTGTTGAAATAAAAAGTGTCCNTGCCCTCCTCCAGGAGATCTTCCCAACCTAGGGATCAAACCCAGGTCCCCCACATTGCAGTTGGATTCTTTACCATCTGAGCCACAAGGAAGCCCAAAGAATCAGGCTTTAAAAATATAAAACACAAATTTAGAAGACATTGTTTTCTGAGATCCTCATTTTTCATTAAATTTTTCACTAAGTGTTGAAATAAAAAGTGTCCTTAGACCCTGCCCAGCTCAGCGAGATTTCCAGCTGACTCGGTTCTTGTCCCGCCAACCCCGCTCTGCCTTCTGCTGCTGCACAAGGTATCCTGGCCCAGTGTTCTTAAGTTCAGTGCTTTAGGATCCTGGGGCATTTAGAAGAGAGATGTCCACTCACGGCACATTCAGTGGGAGCGGAGCACAGATCTGAAACACACATGGGCTGCACTATAGATGGATGGTCCTTGGAAGAGATGTTTCTCGCAGATAAGGTGAAGGACGGCTTCCTGCAGGTAAGGTGGAGGCTTTACCTGCTAACTAACCGAAGAAGCCTTGCTTCTGTCACTTAGAGGGGCACACGCGCCCGGAAGCCCTGGAGGCGCTGCTGTGGGGCTTGTCTTCCTGGGCCTTCTTCCTCCTTTGGAATCTGACCCCTCTCTTAGATCACCTCCTCAGCCCACCATCCCATTCCTGTTTTCCTTTCCTGTTCAATGAAAATAGATCCTCCGTGTTGACAAAGTGTCTGGCATGCTATGCTGATGTTTTTTAAGCAAGCAGTGAAAAGCCATTGGGCGTTTTTAATCATGACTCTGTATTTGCACAGATTCTTTAAGCAGCCTGGAGAGAAACCGAGGGTCGGGAGAAGGCATTTGAAGAGCGGGCGAGAGGTGGTTAGGGCAAGAACAAGGCAGAAACTACCGTGCTAAGAGCAGAGTCACTCACGACACTCAGCGCTTGCCCCACTTTCTGCTGCAGATCCTAGGGGCCCGTCACTTAGCCACAGGTAGCAGGCCCTTGTTGATACACCTGCCGCGCTTTGGCAGCACCCTCCCAGTATTATATTCCCTGGATGCCTTTCTAAATATTGTCAACCCTTTATCACACCCCTGAGTATGCAGCACCGAGACCGTGGTGATAGAGAACGAGACCCATCGGGTTTGCTGTGAAACATGAGGAGCGCCTCAAAATGTTGCGTCACCCAGTACTGACGCTGTTCACACAAGATGTTATATTATTGTAGCCCTAATGTCAAAGACTAAAGGCCACATGTATCTATCATTAAAAACCCAATCAAAATCCTGCTTGATATAAGGGACATGCAAAAGGGTCCCTGGGCTTCCCAGGTGGCTCCGTGGTAAAGACTTCGTCTGCCAACGCAGGAGACCTGGCTTCGGTCTCTGGGTCGGGAAGATCCTCTGGAGAAGGCAATGGCAGCCCACTCCAGTACTCTTGCCTGGAGAATCCCATGGACGGAGGAGCCTGGCGGGCTAGGGTCCATGGGGTTGCGAAAGAGTCAGGTGTGACAGCAACTGAACAACAAAGCGCCCCCGTTCCGCTTTCTGCTGCTCCATCACATCGGAAACGAACGCGTGTTCTGTCGTGGCAACGCAGCTACTAGAGAGAAGGAACAACTCCCAGCTCAACTTTCTTTATACTTCCGCCTCCTTGTATTACGTTATTGAACCATGCACTCATATTAGAAACCTTAAGTCTACACTTATTGCCAAATATAATCTTTTGGGGGGTATGTGGAAAGTATATACCGTCTTTCAATTATAAATGTGACCAAGTCAAATTCTCTCGCACCCTCGTTTCCCAGTGAAGTAAAAGAAAGTACCAAAAATGGAGACGTGGGACCTTCCACCAGGTTTCAGCCCCATGTAACTATTTATGCAATTCCGAAAATACAGTTTACCATGTAGGGTATAAACCCTGTTTTCTCCCCATGAATTGTATGTATCTGCGGAAATTAAAGGTGTTATTAACTTAAATCTTGGCAGAGCCTCGTCTGTTTTAGCGCTCACCAACCCACACGGTAATTACTATTGCTATATACAGAGGAGTTAACACTGACAGGATGTCTGCCCTCTAACCCTGCTTCTAAGAACCCTTCCCATCTTTGGAATGGAGGCCTAGGGATTTTCTTCCTCACTTCTTAACCCTAAGAGAGATTTATTGTACCAAGTCTGGGTGGCTGATGACGGAAAAACTACGTAATCATCACTGTACCTGTGGGTAAGAAGGGAAGGAGCAGACCCCGGGGAATCGCTCTGAGTTATTACAGTCAAGCAAGGTTGAAGATTTTGTCAGAGGGTCAGGGTGGAGAGATCGAAGACAGCAGGGAAGGGAAAGATAAGTGAGCAAATTAAGTGGGAAGGGTGTTGCTCTGAACCTGATTGCTAGGTTTTGGCACTGGTTCTCTTTTTCTGGAAGAAGGAGCAAATGACTTATGCTTTGCTTTCTAACATGAAGATACCCAAAGCCATATTTGTAAGGAAGTTGTGTGGTTAAATAGGAGGGACGCTGAAGGCAGAAAGGAGGAAGGAAGCGTGGAGGGAAGGAAGGAAGGAAACAATAGGCGTGTAAGTCATTCACACTGTTCCTGATGCACTGGCCGTGTGCACAGTGGGAGTGCTGGCAGCAGCCTAGTTGATGCCACCTCATTACAAAACTTATGTTTAGAGCGACCCATGTTAATGAAGGGGCTTCCCAGGCGGCTCTAGTGCTAAAGAACCCGCCTGTCCATGCAGGAGTTGTTAGGGACTCGGATTTGATCCCTGGGTCTGGAAGGCCCACCTGGAGGAGGCCATGGAAACCCACTCCAGTGTTCTTGCCTGGAGAATCCCAGGGATGGGGAGCCTGGTGGGCTGCCGTCTATGGGGTCGCATGGGATTGGACGCGACTGAAGCGACTTAGCGGCAGCGGCGTGTACATGTCAGCCCCAGTCTCCCAGTTTATCCCTCCTCCTCCCTACCCTCATTGGTAACCATAAATAAGATGTTCATTGGGATCTTTTTTTTTTAGTTCCCACATATAAGCGATATGAAAGATATTTGTCTCTGTCTGGCTTACTTCACTCAGTATGATATGATCAACTCTAGGTTGATCCATGTTGCTGCAGATAGCATTATTTTGTTCTTTATTGGGGTATTAAGTATCACTTTAATTAAGAATATTTTCTTGAAATATACATACTGAAAAATACATGACTGTAGAGTCTGATGAGTTTCAAAACCTGAATACGCCTATGTAATCAGCATGAAGGTCACGAAAGATGGACCAGCATCCCAAAATTTCCTGACCTGTGCTCCCTCCCAGTCTCCCAAAAGTAACCACTAACTTGACCTGTAACATCATAGATTTGTTTTGCTTGTTTTCGTACTTAGTTTAAATGGATTCTACTCCTCCATGTCTGGCTGTTTTTATTCAACAATATGTTAGTCTACTGCCAATTATTATATTATCATTCGTTCACATTGCTGAATAATGTTGTGTTATGAAAATATATCTTGATACTGCCAAACAGTTTTTAAAATATATGTACTAATTTGCAGCCCATCAGCAATGTAAGAGAGTTCAAGTGACAAAATATCCTCCCCAAAACTTGGGATTTTCCATCGTTTTTTCTTTTAGCTATGCTGGTGCACAAGCATTGATTTTTAAACTGACTAAATAAACCTCTAGGAAGCTCATACCAAACAAAGATCTTTATTTAGGAACCAGTGTGTGCTGGAGGTGGGAAGGGGCAAAGTTTTATCAGTTGGAATGCTTCAACATCAATACATTCAAAGAAGAAATACAGCTTGAATATCGTAAGCAGAAAGGTCTCAGCACAGAGCAGTGGTTTTCTTGAAAATGCCACTTTATTTTCAGAGAAAGCCCTTCATATGGAAATGAAGAGATGTCTATATGGGCTAGACATGTATGGAATCTGAAAACTGACATTTTTAAGATTTGTGGGGAGAATCGTGGGCTAGAAGAAAACACGAAGGACTTTATAAACTACACCACGAATGACATGATTTTTATACAAAAGCAGGAGGCAGTGGTTGATGTGTTTTTCTTTTACTGTTGCAGGGTCTCCATTTTGGTGCCTGTTGGATATTGTCCCCATAAAGAATGAGAAAGGGGATGTGGTCCTTTTTCTGGCCTCGTTCAAAGATATAACAGACACGAAAGTGAAGATTACTCCAGAAGATAAAAAAGAAGGTTCGTGTTGTTTTCAGAAAACATTGACAGATGGAATAACATTTTGAAATTGTTTACTCAGAAACTCCAGTAGGAAAAAAGAGTGTTTTTAATAACAGCAACTGATAAATATTCATAACTCTTAGCAGTCGGTATCTGGTGCTTTTCCCAAAATCACAGTCACGTGAATTTGCATTCTCCTGTTTGTAGCTAAGATTCACTTGACAGGAACCAGAAATTTGTATTCTGATTCCAGGAGGATGAGGATGGGAAAATGTGTATCAGAGTACACAGATTCATGCCACCTGGTTCTTTCAGGGGAAAATATAAACTGATAGCGATAAGTGAAGTTAAAATGAGACAATTAAAAATACAGCTCTCAGTTTAATCTAATGTACAGCAGCTCAGAACTTAAAAGTGCAAGATTTCATTTTAGGTACAAAATCCAGAACTCAATTTAATGCTTGTTAGAGTGGAACGTTGCAGATGTGTATCTGTATCTGGCAATAATAATCTGTGTTGACATAGACAAGCTTTTCAATGATCTTTAAAGGATTCTAAGACTTTATATTGCTTACCTTGCAGCTTGTGCTTATAGTTTATGAGAAAATTCCCCGCATTTATGCAAGCAGACAAAAATTAACACTGGAAAAATTGCCCATATTATTTGGTTTACACAGAAGCAGACTTAGATATGTTGGTGACCAGAGAAAAAGGAATTATCATTGTAGGCATTTCCTACAAAGCTCTTTATAAGAATCAGCTACTTGACATTTTAACAACTATGTCTTTTTAAACATGTATGTGGGTGTTTTGTATATATTATGTCCAGTGAATGACAACACAGATTGAGAGCTATTTGGTGCCCCCACCTCCCAACATTTATCATTTGGAATGTTTGCAAATGCATGACTGTTTTCCTGTGTATTTGCATAACTAAATATTGTGGGATATTTTACATATAGGAGAGGCAAGCATTCATATCAGTAAAGTTACTTGAATATCAGAGCAAGTGTAATACCTGTCTAAGGAGGGAAAAGTGTGTAAATAGGGGCACACGACTTTTCTATTTTCACAGTTTTCTTTGCTATTATTGGAAGACAGAAGGTAAGTGTGAAGTGCATTTACTTAGAACACCTCTAATACCAACCATAGGTTTTTTTCCCATGCTGATGTTGAAGCTGAAACTCCAGCACTTTGGCCACCTGATGCGAAGAGCTGACTCATTGGAAAAGACCCTGATGCTGGGAAAGATTGAAGGCAGGAGGAGAAGGGGATGACAGNTTTGTTGACAAAGTAATGTCTCTGCTTTTTAATATGCTGTCTAGGTTGGTCATAGTTTTTCTTCCAAGGAGAAAGTGCCTTTTAATGTCATAACTGCAGTCACCATCTGCAGTGATTTTGGAGCCCCCAAAATAAAGTTTGTCACTGTTTCCATTGTTTCCCATCTGTTTGTCATGAAATGATGGGACTGCATGCCATGATGTTAGTTTTTTGAATGTTGAGTTTCAAGCCAGCTTATTCACTCTTCTGTTGCCTTCATCAAGAGGCTCTTTAGTTCTTCTTCACTTTCTTCACTAAGAAGGTGTCATCTGCATATCTGAGGTTATTGATATTTCTCCCGGCAGTCTTGACTCCAGCTTGTGCTTCCTCCAGCCCAGCGTTTCTCATGATGCACTCTGCATGTAAGTTAAATAAGCAGGGTGACAATATACAGCCTTGACGCACTCCTTTCCCACTTTTGATTCAGTCTGTTGTTCCATGTCTGGTTCTAACTGTTGCTTCTTGACCTGCATACCGGTTTCTTAGGAGGCAGGTCAGAGGGGCTGGTACTTGGAATGAACATCAGAGTCCACAAGTGTAAGAGCCCCCACCCTGACACAGAGGCTGCTCACAGGTACGGTGCCCAGGCCGCACATGTTTCTGTCCAACTTGACTGCAATGTTGGGAATTTCACAGCCCTCCCCTTTCTTGTCGTATTTGATAATTTGCTAAAACTGCTCCTAGAACTCAGAGAAACATGTCTGTTATGGGGAAGGCTATAACTTGGGAATAGCCAAACGAAAGAGATGCTGGGGCAGGTATAGTGAAGAGCCTGGGGCCGCCACGTGCTCCCTGGGGCCACCCTCCCTCCCAGCACCCGGATGTGTCCCCTGGGTCTCCTGCTCTGTTATGTAAGAGTTTTCATGGAAACGTCATTACGCAAGCAAGGTTGCTTACATCATCGGCCATTGGCTCCTCTCCCCTCAGAAGGTCAGGGGTGGGGGCAAGGCCCAGCTTTCTAATCTCCCTGGTCTTCCCGGGCATGAGCTCCTCTGTGGAACTGAACACCATTAGTATAGAAGAGACTGAGCCCTCCAGGGATTCCTAGGGTTGTAGGGTTGAATGTCTAGAACAAGGATACGACCAAGTGCATTTCTTACTATGCCACCGTAAGGACTGTTTGAATAACATTCAGTATATGTGTATACATTATGTACACTCACATACATCTGTAGACACACAGAACTGTCTTTAGAAATAAATATATGGCTTTTGGGGCTCCCCTGGTGGCTCAGCTGGCGAAGAATCCACCTGCAATGCGGGAGACCTGGGTTCGATCCCTGGGTTGGGAAGATCCCCTGGAGAAGGGAAAGGCTCCAGTATTCTGGCCTGGAGAACTCCATGGACCATATAGTCCATGGGGTCGCAAAGAGTCAGACACGACTGAGCAGCTTTCACTTTCACTTTCACTTTTTGCTTCAAAGAGGGCAGTTTAATCACCTGACTTGTTTTGATCATGAAGATCATTACTACTGATTTTATATGATTTAGGTAATCATCTTTGCCCTGTGTTCCTGGTGTCTGTATGATGGGGGAGAAATCCCCCTTTTGGAAGATGGCAATGGATCAACGGGGTAAAATATACTTGTTAATTTGGGGTTTGAAAGAGCTCAGTACAAACATTCCTTTTCCTCAGAGAGAGAGAGAGACTTCAATAGAAATCTGGTGACTTTAACCATCTTTTAAAATGCCTTCCATTTTTGACACATACTTCATTTTGATTTTAAAAGTAGTGTGCCAACCAATAACTTCCATATGTGCTCCTAGCATTTCTGAATTGCTTTAATATGAGATCCTATTTACCTCTTACCCTATCAGTAAGAAATATTTTAATGTAATTTAGAAGTGGATTACTAATGAGCTAAGCAATTCCACAGATATTTGTGAGCCCCCATTCTGCCCTCGGTGTTGAATGAGTGAAGATGTCAAGGTGGATATGGTGTGCTCATCCAAACCTCAGCACAAATCCTGCTTCCAGGCGTGTTGGCTGTTAGGCCTTAGTCCCTCTCAGAGACTAAGTTTCTACACCTATAAAAGGGGCAGTCATATAGATGTCTACAGTGACTTTAGGTTTGTAAGAGATAATGTCTGCACCACGTGGCAAATCACAGCAGACATTCAACAGAAAGGGGCTGCAGTCACTGCTGTATGGAAATCTCGCTGCCATTGAACCTCTGCTTCATAATGCCACACCGCCTCCTTTGCTTCTCATTATAACTCTAGGAAATAGGAATTGTTCTTATTTCTATTTACCAGTGACTTAAGTAACCTGACAAGGTACGCATAGTAAAAGGTGGAAGAACTAGGATTTATACTCATGCAAACTCCAGGGTGTACATTTTTTTTGGCATGTTTTTGTCTTTTTTTTTCCTCCAAAGAGCACAAGATCTCATGAAGCACACAGATCCAGCATTGCAATATAGTATGTTCAGTGATGATAGAGTGGCAAAAATGGTCAAGTCCTCCAGATGAGGCCAAAAGATGGGGTGGGGCCAGCAGGAAGCAGAGCAGAGACAAGGAGACCCGCATGGGGAAATGAACACGGAAGCACCTCTGAAGGATGAGTAGTGTTTGATAGACTGCAAGGAAGGGATGTTGATTTCAGGAGGTGCAGTTACAGACAGCTCATTGTTGTTCAGAAGTGGATTGTAAAAGTCAGGGGATGGAAGTTCAACTCTAGGCAGGCATGGCTTAAAGCCTAAAGATTTTATTGTGTTTTTCTAAGGAGCTTAGATGGTGTGGAGATAAAGTTCAGAGTTACAATGGTAGACCTTCACAGCTGGAGGTGAGCGAAAAGGAGGGCTTGATGAATTCCAGGATTCTGCTTTGGGGACTGTTATGGACTTAATTACTCATTACTTTGCCAACAAAGGTCCCTCTAGTCAACGCTATGGTTTTTCCAGTGGTCATGTATGAATGTGAGAGTTGGACTATAAAGAAAGCTGAGTACGGAAGAACTGATGCTTTTGAGCTGTGTTGTTGGAGAAGACTCTTGAGAGTCCCTTGGACTGCAAGGAGATCCTAAAGGAGATCAGTCCCGTGTGTTCATTGGAAGGACTGATGTTGAAGCTGAGACTCCAATACTTTGGCCTCCTGATGTGAAGA